AACAATCATATTCAAGGTCAAGGCCGAGAAATTATGAACCTGGAAGAAGATAGCTCACTATCTCCAGGTAAAAAAGCTGGATAAAGATATTGCTGTGACACAAAAATACTGARACACAGTTGTGAAGTCAGAAGCCTGAGGGAAGAAAGGCATATTTCACTAGTCTCACTAGGAAAAGGTAAGACTCAATATGAAAAAGTCTGTTTCATCCTCTAAATCRAGTCATGCAGAGGCTCCTGTGAAAACCAGTCCTGCAACTAGCAGAGCAAACAGAGAGTATTTAAAATGAAATGTTTTACAGTTCCACACATATTCAGTACCGAGACAGGGTGGTACCGAAGGACAAGAATTTCAAACTCTTACAAATTTGTAAAAAAGACTCAGTGGTAATTCACTCCCTGAAGACAYCCCTGCCTCTTAAAGGAACCAGGAGACCATCCCCTCCACGCATCTTCCCTCGGCTGGCACTGCACACTGTGCCAAGGAAGCTGAGGAACCTGTGCCTGCCAAACCAGCATTCCCAGCTGAGGCAACTCACTGCAGACAGGCAGATGGTTTCCTTTAGAGGAAACCTCTTCTTGAGCAATGTGAGGCTCAGTAACTAAATTCCAGYATCAGAGGTTAGTAAAAAAGGGACATAAGTAGTTGGCTACTTATTTCTTTTTCACCAATCTTTCCCCTCATCAGAGCAAGATGTTACCTCAGTTGTTTTCTCACATGGAAAAAATATTCCCTTTAAAAATTGAGTTTCTYCTCCAAATTTGTGAGTATTAGAAATTTTCACAGCACTCAAGTACAGTTTAAAGGGAGACACCTAGTTGCTATAACCATAGCAACTTCAATTGCAAACTCAGAAGTAGTATTACAGACTTATTACCAGAAATACCTAATTGAATAGAATTGAATACCTTCCTTTTTCCTGAAGATTAAAGGTTTCTCAGTACCATACTTTTGTACTGAAACCAAGAATATTTTTCAAAGATAAGAAGAAATACCATCTCTTCTAGTGTTCTGCAAGTTGTCATCCTCCTCCTCCCTATCAGATAAAAATAAGGAGAATCCTTTTTTCYCCCAACATAATGGTTTCCCCTTGATCTTGCTACTAGTAAAAACTGCCTCACAAGCATATTAGTACGTGCCTCCTTATCTTATAACTAGACAGCATGATTTATTAACAGATAAGAGAATGAATACCTGAGATCAGTAGTGATGAACTGCTGCTTAAGGTACATAGAAAACCCCATCACATGCACTCCCAAAATACCAGTTCTGTACCTACTTCAGAGTTACTGCATAGGACATAAATAGTGACATAGTTTTCCTTATTAAAAATGCAGAGGAAATGTATTATTTACTGCTTAGTTTAGACTATAAATACTGAAGAAATTATTTTTCAAACCTCACTGAGGCTTTTACTGCTTATTTCTGTGCTTGGGATTGCCAGAGGGACTAGACAACCCCTCTCCCCTAGACACAGACACACCACACAYCCTGCAAGCTCTATTCTGATGAGTTACTTGGATGTTGGCTAATTGTGGTTATCTGGCTTCCAAGTGCTTGAAGCACTTTTGGCATCAGGATGAAGTGACATCCAGGAACATTTAATCTGTTAAAAAGGGCAGTCAGCATAGATTTATGCAATAAGTATATGCCTCAAGGAGAGCCTCTTTACATTCTTAGAGTGCAACAACAAAGAGCAGAGGAGGATATAGGAGTAAAAATAAGATTTTCATACAAGTCTTACCTGAATCTTTAAGAAAATGTAACAGGACACCTTAAGCAAAACATCAAATCAAACTAATACCTGTCTGCAATGCAATCACTAGTAAGGAAGTTCTAGAAAACCATTCTGTAAGGAAAAGACATGTACAGAGTAGATAACTTTAGCAAAATGGCACATCAGCTCCTTTTTTCAGCTCCTTTCTCTCTCACAATACATCTCAGATCCTCATTTGAAAGGTTTCAAAGACGTTGTTTTGATGTGCTTCTTTTGACAATGAGCAAAAGCACAAACTTACTATATGTAAAATATTTCTGGAAARTAAACAATATTCAGTTTGTCCATTAAAAGTCTAGGAGAAAAAGGGATCCTTTTGCATCAGTGTTCATCTACGATATCCTGATATTTAGCTACATAAGATCACCATTTATATTCATTTATGTCTCATGCCCTCCTCACATACTCGAGAATACACATTTTTTTGCCAATATGTTTGTATCCATCTCTGAGGACAATTTGAACCACCTGGAACCCTTCCACAGCCCCAGAATTTGGCAGACCATTCCCTTTATTTTAGGCATATTTAGTAGTTTGCTYAAGTCCATGTAAACATTCAACCTGTAATTATCTTCCTGCAGCTTTAATTYGGATATGACTTGCCATACTTTATTTATTAGAGGAGATAGTTAATGGAATTTCTAAATTCAGATAGAAAGTCTCAGGAGGGTCCCTTCTTACCTACCTAACACAGGGCTTGCAACAGAAAGGAAGGAGTCAGTTGTTAACATTTGGGGTAGACAAAAGACATTAAGAATAAACAGAACTTGCACAGATTTACCTCCAAAAACCTACCTCCTATTCCATGTTCAACAGGCTGCATTTTATTCAACCTACACGCAGAAGCTGGTACTGTGACTACTTACTGCTTCACGTCTTTGAGGCTTGGATAGTCAGTTGCAAAAGGAAAAACAGGGGAGTTCTTTGTAAAAGCATCATATGGTGCAGAAACATATGATGCAGATATCATCTAAGAGACAATTTCACTGAAACTGATTTTTAAAGAATCTCAGTGCAGCAGATGTTTTGCATAAATAATATGGATCATGAACCAAAACACTTTCCTCATGCAGCTTTCCAGCTATCCTCCACAGTTTGAAAGGTTAACCGAAAAAAGTAACACTGAAACCATGAGCAAATCAAAGGCTTAGACTTTATTATTCCACTGACATATAGAGAGCATTTGGTTTTTCCAGAGTGACTGTAGATTAGTATTTTAATCTAAATTTATCAGTATCTGATAATAGTAAATATATTATGCCCTTTAGGAACTAGAGAAGGTTACAAAAGAATATTGGAAGAATCTCAAAAATCCACCTGCACCTGGCCCAGGCCCTAGAACTGCTTTGTGTCAGTATGATACACCAATGTACCACTCTATAAATACATTGCTTTCAATAGGTAGCTTTGCCAACATCTAATCTGAAACACCCATTAAGCCCAAATTCAATTTGCAGAAGACAACGGCAAAAACAACTTTTTTGCCAAAAGTTTTCTAAATACTTTCAGAGTGTTATGTCCCTTTTTAGGTCTTTTAGCCTCAGTCTGTTTTAAGTGGTCTTTAAACCTTTTCTTGAAATTGCATATTAATACATACTGATTTTATTCTTTTTTCTTTTTCCCTCCTCAGAGAGATGCATTTCTCACCAGGATGGCAGGCAGATAATAACATTGCCAGTCTGGAATATAGGTTTTTTGGACCTTTCAGGAGAAGTAAGAGGATTTAAATCAAGAAAAGCGAAGTATTTCTATTCTAAAGTTAATCCGTAACTAGTTCCAGCCTGTAATTCAAGTGAGGCCTATGAACAAAGAAAAGCTAAATATAAATGGAGAGAAGCATGCTAATATTGACTTACTGGAAAGCAATAAAGAAAGGAAGTCAGCAAAGGCACTATTGGAAAAATCATCTTAAAAATGAGAAAAAAAAATTAAAATGGTAAAGCTTCAGAGGCCTTGTCAACACTGTGAGGAGAGGATCATGTTACATGGATGCTACTGTATTTGTAATTTAGGAAGGCTTTTGTGCATCAGTAAACTAGAAGATTAATTCATTTTTTTGCATGGGAATACCAGCCTCCATATTTAGAATGCAAAAATGCATTTTGAAATGGCTAGGAATTCTACCTGTACTTCACAACACCATTAGCATGGGTTTTGCATGTTAAATTGGGACATCATACAGAGAGAAACATCAAACCATCCAAGAAAATCTGTTCACTACCCTCGACACTGTGTGAGAAAACATTCCTGTGCTCTTTACAGACATGAACCAGTAGCTCCACACAGCATTTTCCTATGATAAGAAAGCGCACCAATTTTGGCCATTGTAACCCTGGGAACCCCTGAATTTTATTCCGTCACAGAGAACATATTGCAGTATGCTTTCTTCCAAGAAACAAATACCACCAAAACTAGTTCTTGAAAATTAATCAATGCCACTCAGATACTAGGGGGAAAAAATTTCCAGCCTCAGGACACACAAACCACACACTCTTCTTGGAGTGGAAAGTGCAGGCAAGATTTGGCTGGGGACATATGCATAAGGGTAAACCTTCCCATCATTTTTTGCAAAAAACTGAACMAGCTTACTACAACCCAATACACAAATGAATTAATTGCACAAGCATTTCCCTCTCTTTGTCACAAGATACTACACACAGTTCTTCACCCTGGCTGCACACATGGAGACACAGTCACTGAATGAGAAGAGGTACTAAAAAACAACTCTGTAGGTCATGGCCAAAAATTTAARAAATACAATCTTCTGACAAGAAAGCAAATATGAAAACCACGTAAATCAAATTCTGTTTTTCTATCACCTTTTTGTTAAGGTTTTCACATTACCTAGCCCACAAGTGGCTTGATTTATAAAAGCAGACTGCAATGTACTCCATTAGCTTRGTATCAAAATTGGGCCTTCTACAATAGAAAGTGTGAAGTCTCAGCTGACCTAKTTAAGTCAAAAGATGGACATGAGATCATTATTTTTTTTCATGGTGACCATGCCATAAAAAATTGCACAATAATCCCTGCCACAGTAAATGCACACAGGATGAACAGATGCAATATGAAAGAATTGGCGAAAAAGACATATTTTCCAAAAGATTTCCACAGGCTGTACAAGTTTTAGGCAACTTTTCTGAGTTCACACTTGTACCATGGAGCCATAAAGGATTTTCAAGACATAACTACAATACAATAACTAAAATATTTAGCCACCTACCAGCATTAACGATGGCATCAACCTCAAGCAGCGTAATGTCACCTCTGTAGAGAGAAACTTTCTCACTCAGACTTTTCTTCCCTTGCAGATCTTCTTTTGCATTTTCACCTACAAACCAAGAAAGCAGAAAAATCAGGTTACAAGCGTGGGTCTGAGGTCATTATTTACAAGCCCCGAGCAGGCAGCAGTCCAGTGACATTACTGCTGYCAGACTGCAGCAGCTTTCGGTTTCACCTCGAGAGGGCACCGGCAACCCACAGAGACACCAGCACTGCCCTAACATCACACTGCTTGCTTGTTACTTGTTTCCAAACACAAGCTAGTAGGAAACACTGAATTCTAACCTACATACCATTCGATTACAAAATGTAGAAACATACATTTTTTTGAAGTGAGACCCATCAAATAATTTTATTTGGTAATCACAAGGGTGCAAATTGCAGAAACAAATTGAAGAATTAATTAAAATAACCCTCCTACTGGAGTAGTAATTTCCCCAATCCAGAATTATACCAAGTGAGCACAAAAACACATGAGTGCATCGTTTGCCAACAGCCCCAAAATTCAGAACGACTTCTAAAGACATGTAGCCAGAAGAAAAGCCTGAAAAAAAATCCATGCCAATTTTAAACTTGGAGCTTTGTCACCTTAAATGCTCAGCTAGGAGGAGGCAGGTGGTGAAGATAACCTACGCTAGCTTGCAACAGATTTGTTACTAAATAATGATACCATAGGTCCCTTAATTCTGTAAACTCTTGAGATTTTGCATCACCAAATCATTCAATTTACATTCTGTTCAGTCTATAGAACAGTTCAGTTACCTATTGCCCAAAATCTCACCAAGCTATACATGTACATCACCAGCAATGAACTGAGGAAGGAAGATTATTAAGCTCACTTTTTACTATTCCTCTTTTAACATTGTTTCCAACACAAGTCTCGAGAAGCTCCATTTCATCTATCGGTCAGAAGTAACAAAGTGGGAATCAATTCCAAATGTTGACAACAACTGAAGTTTGTTGATAAGCAAAAAGAGTCCTCAATATTTAGTGAGACCATAGAAGCAGTTCAAATAAATTTGCCAGTTTAGTCTTACCCTCCCTTTCMATCAGCTCAAGAATACCAACTCAGACGTGTCAGCAGTTCCTTGCTGAGCACCGGGGAGCACATYCCCAAGATCCCGGGGCTCAGGCCCACTGTGGTGAGACAGAGCAGCAGGTTGAGTCAGCCGCATTCTCAGACCCTCTGGCCCTCCTGGCCCTGCCATTCCCAGCTCTCGGGCTGCCAGGCAACAGCCCTGTGACATCACTGTGCAGGGGAACCACGAGCGATGCCACCACCTTGCCCTGGCACAGAGCCGSGGGCACCGCTCGGCTCAGCTCAGCCGAGAGCGCAGCTCCTGGGGCAGCTCGGCCATGCTCCGCCCGGGGCTCTCGCTGCTCCTGGGGCTCTGCGTGGCCTCGCTGCTCCCCAGCGCCCTCAGAGCTCAGGGCTGTCCCACCAGGAACAGGCTCTGGCTGGAGGTGCCCGCCCGGCGCCCGCTGCAGCCCCACACCGGCACGGCCAGCGCCAGCCTGTGGCCCCTGGGGCTGCGCTGCTGCACCTTCTTAGCCCTGTCCCTGCTGCTCGCCGCGCTTTGCCTGGC